CTCAGTGGGGAGCCTGCTTCTCCCTCTCCCACTCCCCCTGCTTGCGTTCCTTTTCTCGCTGTATCTCTCTCTGTCAAATAAATAAATAATATTTAATAAAAAAATAAAACTTAAACAACATCTAACACTTTTAAAACAAATTGGTCAAACTTCTTTAAAGGCTCTCAGAGCACTTTCAACAGAAATTCCAGTAGAAGAACGAGAGGAGAGGGAGAAAGTTTGCTGAGATACAAAGCTGAACCTGGGGCTTCACAAATCTTAAAACTTCTGAAGCATAAACAGTGAGAGGACTTACACCCAGAAGCATGCTAGGTAGGATGCTGCTGGAAGACACAGCAGGACAGATGGTACTACTAACAATTTCCTCTTCTGGAGGAAAAGAAAGTGGAGAGGAGAGAGACAGTATGGGGAGTTTGTGGCAGAAAGTTTTCACTATAAGCCTTGAAAACCTTTAAGGCCTACTACTCATCAAATCACCCCAAATTCCTAGCCCCTACTTAGCTGAGTTCAAAAGGGCTTTTTAAAATAAGGCTCCTTTAATCTTCACAGCTTTGTAGTAAATTACACACCCTTGTAAAGCAGGAGGGGGAACAGGTCTTCTGATCTGTCACCCTCCAAGCCACATCAAGCAAGCTGCCAAGGCTCCACTGTGGCAGAGCCGGTTCAAAACCTGATGTCTGGGGGCCAGAGTTCAACTTTACTTGTGGGCTTGTTTCTAGCTCTGCTGCTTACGTCAATTCAATTTATGGTATAATTTCCTGTTTTAGGTTTGCATTTCTTTACATATGCCTGTGTCTTCATTGTATGAAATCTTTAAGGGTGGGGCTTGTAGCTATTAAAAAATAATCCCCATGGATCTCAGCACAACGTCTATATGAAGGGGATTAAAAAGCACACATTTTATTAACAATAACATGAAAACCAGTAAAACACATGGTCTGCCAGCATCAATGACTTAGGTCACTCAGTATTCTCACATAAAATGGCAGGATGGACTCAATGATCTCTCAAGTTGAGGAGCTGGTCTAGACTGGTCTGTTTTAAATGGCTTTCCTGCATTATATGCAAAAGGTTCACCCAAACATGCAGACCAAGGAGGATAAATTTGAAAGTTCAGGCTTAAAGAGACAGCAAAAGATTCTTCAGTCATTGTCACTGTCAATGCTCCCACCCTTACCAACTTAAAAAAGAGCAAGAAGACCCCCCCCCTGGAAATATGTGCCAGAGCTTCCCTACCAGACGGGTCACTGGTAATATGATAGGAGGCTTGCCATTTCTGCCAATGGCTTGGGGTGAGGCCCTGGCAAGCAACTAACTCCTCTACACCCCCCCCTTTCCAGATCGGGACTAACTCTGCCTGTGCCACTCACATCACAAAGCTAGTGTGAAGCATGGTATGAGTGCATAGCCTCTCAAATATGCCAGGGGACTGGATCTGAAAAATCTGTGGCGTGTCATCCATGTAGACAAAACACACTGCAACACAGAACATACCACAAAAGATCCAAAAAGGCTTACCATGCTGAGGGACAGGTTCACTTGCTTTTCTACCTTGCTCACAGCAACCAGATCTGTTTCTATCAAGTTGACTCTCTGGGTAAGGTTACTGACTGTCTCATTCATCCCCTCGAGTTTAAGATCATTCTGTCTCTGGTACCCCACTAGGGCACTGTTTACCTCCTCTAAAGAGTTGTGAAGGTACAGGATATCCTGGAGTGGAAATAAATCAAACTGTGGAATCCAGCTAAAGACATACACTAGACAAGCAGGCCAGCAGCACTAAACAACTATTACTATGTCACGTTACTGAAGTAAACGCCTTTTCCTGGTTTAGACCATTGATTGTCTGTCTTGGGTTTGTCCCTCCACTCTAAATTGCTCCGAGTTCACTCCCTCTGGAATTGTCTGACCTCAGCTAGACAAGAGGGGAAAGGGGACTACCTACATGATTCACTTTCTGGTCCCAGAAAGCTGAGAGCTTGGGAATTGATTTCCCAATGTTTACCTCACCTGCTGGCGGGAAAGCTTGCTGGGTTATTAACTGAAACACCTATTAACCTAATTTGTCAGAACAAAACTACCTTAGGAAAAATACCAATTACTGAATTGGCTCATGTAGCAAAACCATAACAAGTAGTGCATTATTTAGTACAAAATTCAATTATTTTTATTGACATTCTCCAGTACTGATTGCTACTTAAAAAGGAATGATGACTACAGGTTTTAGAGGGCATTAAACTCAGGACAGGAATTCTTCTTAGTGAAGATTTCCTTTATTTTCTTTAATGTGATTCTGAACTCAATAGCCTTTTCCCTCCTCTTGTCTTTAGAAAATCTTGACTTCTAGGGATATGCTTTCCAACATTTTAGAAATGTTAAACTTGCCCAGATTGCTATTTTTCATAAACAGTTTCAGGATAATCTGGCTATTCTATGTCTTCCAAGATGTGAAAAGGAATTTACTCCACTGATTGACATGCAGGGAAAAAAAGCAGAGTGCCAAAGAAGAACCAGGACGGCATCTTGGATTCCTAAGAGACCAACACACATTGCTGTCTGCTCAGCTCTCAGGCAAGCAAATATATGCATGGGATGAGGCACGACAACACTGAGCCCAACTATTCAGGTGGCCCCCAGAGCCCACTGTGGGCACAGGGAGTAAAGCCAGAGACAGAAAGTACCTGTTTCAAATTCTCACTGTGGGTTTTATTGTCAAAATCTGATGTGGCTGAAGGTGATGGAATGATCTGGTTGCTTCCACTGGTCTCTTTCAAGAAGTGCCAATTCTGTTAACAGAAATGGAGGTTAGTATAGGCAACAACTAATTATCAGGTCTACTTAACCATCTGGGATGGTCCTAGAACATTCTAGCTTCCCAGAGGGGGCATTCACAGATTAATCAACAATTACTTCCCAGGAGCCTACAGTGTGACCAGTCTTGTGCTAGGCCCCAAGGGCACCAGGTACTCTTGGGGATGCCAGCCTGAAGCATGGACTGGACCAGCAGCACCCAGACTCGTCAGGGAACTGAGATCCTCCCAGTCTGTTTCTCGTCTCTGAATGGAATGAACTCCCCAGAAACCAGTCCTCCTCTCCTCCATTACCTGTACTGCCAGAGAAACTACAGAATCACTATCACTCCCAGGGGCCAACTCAGTCTGGACCTGGCTAGTGTCATCACTTCCCCGGGACTGAAGAGGTTTGTGCACTCAAAGAGTAGCCAGTCATGTAACCACTAGCCTCGGGCCCTGAGTACAACCAAGCATGCACATTATTCATTTTTCCAGTTTTAACAGCACATGCCAAGATTTATGTCTGAAGGTTACCCTTCCCTTCCCATCCCCTTCCCACCGCTCAAGTCTCTCTTTGCAGAGAATGAACACATTTATATATACACTTTTTCCCTCTAGTGGAAAAACTTTGCATGGCTTAATCTTTCAGGGCTCATACCTATGACTTAGTATAAAATGTGCCAGTGGGGAGAATTACCACTGGCAACCACGGAAGTTTAAAAGAGGCAGATTTAATTACAACAGATTGCAATTAGGGAAAATAAACGGTTTTCCCTGAAATTTGAAATCCTAGATGTTTATCAACCCTGCTTTTAGAAGAAACAAAAGGCAACAATAAAGAAAATAGAGAGGTGGGAGAAAAAAACCCCATGGTTCTCTAAAGCATGAATTTTTGACTTAGGAAACATGTATTTTGGAAAATATTTATTACTTTGAGAAAATGCTCAAAATATTAACATAAGAGTAATGAAAGAACTGTTGAGTTTATTATTATGGATCCCACAGTTACTCAGCAGCAGAGGTGAACTGGAATCCAGAGTGTCTGAACACCAGCTCAACAACTGTTCCTTCGGGTCAGCCCCATTAAATACCAGTGAGGAATACTTGTTCTGAAGAAATGAAAAACCGTCCCCTTCTAGAGCTCTAATATAGCCCTGGTCTCCTTGGTACAAATTGCCCAGTTTAAACCTGAAACTCTGAAGCTGGAAAAGAGCATGTGGGATAAACCTAGAAATTAGTAGAAAAGCTGGGGAACTTTTGTGTGCCTTGAACAGTCCTGATTTCATGTACATATAACTCATCTCCCCAGCAAGACGGCAGGGGCTATGCCATCCTTTTCTCCCTTCGTAAATCTTTCATGGAGCAGACTACTCACTAGGTAATTGATTAAGGCCTCGGAATGACTGTAGACCACTTACACCCACACAACATGAAGAGACATTTGAAGACAATTCCTGAGCACTGCAGGGGTTTGCTTCTGTCTCACTTATCTGCTGCTGCGTAACAAATCATCCCCAAACTTTGTGGTTTAAAACAATTTATTATTCCCATGATTCTGTGGGTTGACTGGGCTCAGCAGGTATGGGGGTATTCTTCTGTTTCACACGGTGCAGGCTAAAGTCTTTCTTTCTCTCACACTTTCATACACACACGCACGCGCAAGCACTCATGACTGCATCCAACTGGGAATCTGGCTGGAGCCGGAACATCCCAGATGGCCTTTCATTTCTAGAGTCCTCTTCACTTGGCCTCTCACCATTTCAGTCTGGGAGCTCCATCCAAATTCCCAACCCACAGAACAGTGAGAAGTAATAACATGTTGTTTTAAGCCACTAAGTTTAGGGTGATTTGTTATGTAGCAATCAATACCTATGACACTTCCCTTTCCTTCTCCATTTTCCTTCCTACCCATTCCACCCAGGAACTGTATCTTACTGTTATTTCCTCTAGTATGTTTGCAAAAGACTCAGCTTTTAATTTTATCCTCCTTAACTGCGTAATTTACAGATTACATCTTTTAAAAAGGTGCACAGTAAGGTCTGTTCAGATGAAAGGGAAGATGGCATCACTCCTATTACACAGAAGAGGGTAGGCAGAATGCTGACTTCCCGCAGCATTTGTAAATTTCCTTACCATGTCACTCTGCAGTGACTCAATGGTTTTCTTGTGTTCATCCACAGTCTTCTGTATTGCCTCCACAGCAAGATGGACGCTGTTTAAAGTGTTGCCAATGGTAGCTACACTCTGAACAGAAACATGTTGTAAGGCCAGCATCTTTTCCTTTTTAAAATTTCTAATAGCCTTACTAAAATATAACTGATACACAATGAACCACACATATTCAAAATGTATAGGTGGTAAGTTTTGACATATACACCTGGGAAACCATTAGCATGATCGAGATAATGAACATCCATCACCCCAAGTTTCCTTAGACCCCTTTGTGATTCTTTCCTCCCCCACCCCCAGGCAGCCAATGATCCACTACATATCAGTTTGCATGTTCTAGAATTTTGTATAAATAGGACCAGTGAATGAGTATGTGGGGTTTTTTGGTCTTGTTTCTCTGGTATGGCTTCTTTCACTCAGCTTCACCTTTTAAAATTTATCCATGCTGTAGCCAGAGCTTGTTGCTGAGAAGCATTCCATCATATGAATACAAGACAGTTTACTCACCTGCTGATGGACATTTAGGTTGTTTTCAGTATTTGACTACTACAAATAAAGCTGCTGTCAACATTCATGTGCAAGTCTTCATGTGGGCATACATTTTTATTTCCCTTCGTTGTATGCTTTTTCATCATAATGCCTAGGTAGTGAATGGCTGATCATACAGTAGATATATGCTTAACTTTTTAAAAAGCTGCCAAGATGTGCTCTAAAATGGTTATACCACTTTACATTCCTACCGGCAGTGTAGGAGAATTCCAGTTCCTTCATATCCTCATCAGTACTGCTATTCTCAGTCTTTTTCATTTTAGCCATTCTTTTAGGAATGCAGTGGTCTATCACTGTGATTTTATTTTACATTGAACACTGACCTAATGAAGCTCAGTGTTTTTAATTATTTCAAGTCTCTTCAAACTGAATTTCATGTAGCTTATGCAGACACAATTAACAGGAAACTACACGTTTATGTTTATATACAGTTGACCCTTCAACAACACAGTTGTTCGATTTATATTGAAAATCTACATGTAACTTCTAACTCCCCCCAAACTTAACCACTAACAGCCTGTTGACCAGAAGCCTACCAATAGCATAAACAGTTAACACATATTTTCTATACTATATGTATTATATAGTATATTATTACCATAAAGTGAGCTAAAGAAAATGTTAAGAAAATCATAAGAGAAAGTACATTTATGGTATTGTACAGTATTTACAAAAAAAAAAAAATTCCACGTAAGTGGACTGCATCGTTCTAGGGTCACCTGTATATATAAAATTATATATATATAACAAATAATTTTCCCAATTTAAAGGACTTTTCCTAGATAAAAACCAAGTCTTCTTCTTAAAAAACAAAAACTAGTTCTTAAATCTGGGACCCACAGATAAGGGTCTCCCACAAACTGCCCTTACCAAGCCCTGTGGTAGGTGGCAGAAGGCCACAGCTAACCCTGTAGCCTGCCACTGTGTCAGGAGCAAATGATGACTTTTGAATGACAATGGGTGGAACCATTTTTGGCTTTGGGAAACCCAGTATTGCAGAGATGAAGGAAAAATTCCATTTGGCAGCCTTTGTTCCTTTTTTGCTTTAGAATCCCATCAGCAACTGCTGAGTGGAATGAGATGCGAGTCTTCTTTAGGCTTAAGGAGCCCACATGGACTGGGACTTGGGAAATATGGGACATTTTAAAAAGACCTGTCCTAAGGGAATATCCAAAAGAGTGTTACTATTTGGTGGGTGCTGTCCTCTTATTAAGATTTACTGACAGTTCTATAGTTTTATTTTTTTCAAGATTTTTATTTTTTTATTTGAGAGAGACAGAGCATGAAAAGGGGGAGGGGCAGAAGGAGAAGCATCCTCCCCGCTGAGCAGGGAGCCTGACACAGGACTCGATCCCAGGACCCTGGGATCATGACCTGAGCCGAAGGTAGATGCTTAACCGACTGAGTCACCCAGGCGCCCCAGTTTTATAGTAAATACATTAGTTTTTTTAAACCAAAGTTGTTTTTATTATACAGACAGCCAAGAACCCAAAAGACCAAGAGATGACATTTTCAAAATTAAAAAAAATCATGAGATATATTGAAGTCAGGTATTCTGAGATTACCTTCTACTTCAAAATGGAGCCACTTGTATTAAAAGTAGTATCTGATATTATAAGCGCACAGATTTCCAAAGAGAAAACACACTGGGTAAAAGTCTCTAAGCTGGGGTGTTATCTATGTGAGCTCTGTTGTTACAGAAGCTACAGGCATTCAAAGACATCTACTGTTAGACGATCCTCCCTTGCTGGATGTATGAGCCCATTAGGATGCAAGATAGTAAGCTCTTGTTTAAGATTTTTTTTTTTTTTTTTTTTTAAGGAAGCAGCTGACAGAGCCATGTGAATTCTAGAGCAAAACCCTGAAACTAGTATTTTCACTCACAGCAAAGTGCCTGGCACAAACTGGAGGAAGCTCCACAAATGTTTATTGAATTAATGCAATAAACCAATGTCATTTTCTAATGCAAGACTGCAAGAGTTGCTTCTGTATTGAAGACCACAGAGGCCTACCTTTTTTCCACTTGACCGCTGGGAAAAATGGCAAGAATCTGGCTCATTACATTTCTCTCCCCACCTTCCCCCACCCTCCCCTTTTAAGTTGTGAGCAGATGACCATCTTGGATAAGTAGCAAACTGTGGAGACTGAGCACACACAGGTGGTATGGTTACAAAATAGCAAGTTCTGTTTCTGCAAGTGGCAGATGACTTTTTCACTCCTTTATGGAAACAATTTATATGTTTATAGAGCCTGGCATATAGTCAAATCAAACTTCTTTATACACTAACTTTGAAAAGTCAAAGATCTTAGATTTGACACCCATTCTTTAGGGTTCCTGAAGCTCCAGAATCCCTTCTTCCATTTCCTGCTGCAGGGTCTGATTTGCTTGTGTTCCAGCTAGGTACCCTTTTTTCGTTCCTACCCCAAACCACTCTCCCATCCAGCTCTACAGATTGCTGCATATTATTCAGCTGGTTGGTTACTCCCTTCTGCTCTGGGCCTGAATCCTAGGGATCAAGTAAATGGGAATTCCAAATTATTTTTTGCCTAGGCCCTAGAGTTTAGGGCACATAAGAGTGAATTGCTGAGAGGATTTATACGCCCAGCAAGAGTGTTTTGAAAGTTACCTTTGCTCCACATCCTTGCCAACACTTACCATATCCTAAACTTCAAATTTTTGCATTTTCCCCAATTATTATTACATTTTTTAAAAACCTCTTTCTCGACCATGAAAAAAAAAACAGCAATTTAGAGCAACTTTCTTCTACAGTTGGTCTGCTTTCATGAAGACATTGTGGATGATGAATTGAGAATACAAGTGATGAGAAGCAAACCCACGTTTGTTTACCTTTAAGAGCCCCAGAAGAGCAATCTCGGGATTCAGAGAGCCAAATAAAAAGGTGTAAATCCATAAAAACCACAACTAAACTCACCTGTTGCAAATCAGAGGCCCAACTAACCAAACCAAAACAGAGAGGTTCTGAACTGTTTAGAACACAGTGATATACTCTATTATTGCCCTCTTGGAGTAGCTGATTTCAAATGCCATGCTTTCAAAGAAAACTTGTTAGAAGGAACAGCAATAGGTTAATCTCAGTGCCCACATGTAGCACTTACCTTCTGAAGTCCCTCTACAGTGGCAGGCAGACTAATTAAGTCTGCAGCTGACTTAACGTTGGCTTTGAGGTGGTTTACTGCAGAAGTCAACAGAGAAATCTGAAAGGAAGAGAGTAACAATGAAAAGAAAATTTGGAGAATGAATGCTTCCTGCACAGACTCCATAGCTGATGATAATATCAAGCCGCCCTTGGCTTTTATGTGTTTCTGTGATCCAGACATTATATGCTGTCTGCTCACAAGAGTAGAGGAACTACAATATATTGGATAGAATTGAGATCTGGAAGGCAACAGTAATACCTCTTCCTTCCCTGCCCTCACTTTTTAAAAAAATAAAGATTTATTTATTTATTTATTTATTTGAGGGAAAGGGAGAGAAGGTGGGGAGAGAGGGGTAGAGGAAGAGGGAGAGAGAAACCTAAGCAGATTCCATGCTGAGCACGGAGCCCGATGCAGGGCTCAATCTCAGGGTCCTGAGCTGAAACCAAGAATTGAAGCTTAACCAACTGTGCTACCCAGGCACCTGTCTCCCTGCCCAATTTAAACACTAGTGCCAAAGAGGGAAAGGCAACTATTATTCTTTACCCTACTCCTGGCAGCTACAAGATCCAAAATCTTAAGTTACTGACAAATTGCAGTGATTACAACACAATCCCTCAAAAACTGGACAGGGAGAAAGCTAATGATCAAGGACCCCTGAAGGATTTCATTTGGTAAAAAATAACACCTTGGTTATTTACTGAACTTTTGTTCCTGACCAAGTGGGAACATACATTATAAAGTAAAAGCCCATCACCACAAAATACAGTCTACAGGAACTTGGACAACACTTTAAACTACTTGGGGATTCAGTTTTGGTTTAACAATGTGATTAATATTTCAAACCTAATAGCTGAACCAAAGTACTACTCTGTACCTGAAGGGACTCAATAAATACCCACTGACGCGCTGACTGATGCAGTACATGTATTAAAATAGGAATTGAATAAAAATAAAAATAAAATGTGTCTTCCCTTCTGCTATGTAGGGGTAGAATTCTAAATAGCTGGGCTTCTCTCTTGAATGAGGACTGGGGGAACTTGTACAGGCGGCTGAGATCATACTCTAACACCTTGCAGTATGGCTCAAAACATTCTTAAAAGATTCTTCGTTCCAAACTGATTTCCTGCCCCCAAATTCTAGGATAAGGACGCAGATCTACTGATAGCAATTATATTCAGAACGGCCTCACAGAGTAACCAGTGAAGTTTCTGGGCACCTGTTATTTGCCTAACACTGCGGCGGCCAGCAGATGGATAGCAAAGTAAACCTGATCCCTTCTTCTTCCCTCCGACCAGTGCTGGGCACTGCCACAAGCACTGTGGAGACCACGAGGTTTTGCTCTCAAGGAGCTTACATCCTAGTAGAAGGTGAAAGAAAAACAAAGAAGGAAAGTATCAGATTAAGTACTAGCAAAGAATTTCAACAGAGTTCCTGGAGCAAGCAGCAGCATGTTCTGAACCACGGAGTCCGGTAAGAAGCCCAGGAGCTCAATAACTCAGGCCTCTTTCCTTCTTTCCTTTTAGGAGGGGTACGTTCACGAGCTTCAGGCCATTTTTCATTCATTCATTACTGCAACAAATGAGCCCTATTCCATACCAGTGATCTTGTGGTATTTACATTTTAGTGTAAGGAGACAGACAATTTTATATAAGAAAAACACTGGATGGTGGGGTGCATTAGAAGAAAATTAAAATAAGGTGACCTGATTAGTGACTGGGGAGCTACTTTAGATTAGATGATCAGAGAAGGCTTCTATAAGGAGATGAAATTTTGGGGCACCTGTGTGGCTCAGTTGGTTGAGTTATTGCCTTTGGCTCAGGTCATGATCCTAGAGTCGCAGGACTGAGTCCACGTTGGGCTCCCTGCTCAGCGGGGAGTCTGCTTCTCCTTCTGACCCTCCCCCATCTCATGCTTGCTCTCTCTCTCTCTTTCTCTCTCTCAAATAAATAAATAAAATCTTAAAAAAAAAAAAGGAGGTGAAATTTGAACGGAGATCTTAGTAACAAGAAGGACTTAGTCAAAGACTGAATGAAATACATTTCAAGGCAGAGGGAATTGCTAGGACAAATGTCCCAGCGCAGGGAAGAGCTTGGCATATTTGAAGAATAGAAAGAAGGCTTGGTGGCAGGAACATATAACGTGAGTGAGAAAGGGGGAGGAGGAGGGAGAGACGGAGGGAGGGAGGTAGAGAGAGAGGTAGAGGGGTGGAGGTACGTAGGTAACATTAAAGAAATAATTACTAGATGTGATAATAACAAATAAAGTTCAAAGAAAAGAATATTTGTGTAGGCTGAAAGGGACAGGCTTCACTGAAGTGGGACTCAAATTAGACTCTGACGGAGAAGTAAGCCTTTTATATATAAAAATAAAGCAGGTTCTCTTTCTAGGTTAAATAGGTAAGTGTGGCATTAGGAAATAGGTAGGGAACAACAGCATGAATAGGCCCAGGAATACCTTTTCTTCATGGCCTTTTTCAAAGTGACAATGATTTATTTATTTGTGTGATGACTTGATTAAGGATTCTCTCTTCCACTAGACTGTAAGCTCCACGACATCACGGACCATGTCTATTTCAGCATTTTCCTTAATATGCCTGGCACACAGATAAGCATCAGTAAGTATTCACTGAATGAAGGTGTGGCTGAGAAAGAATACCCTGTCTAGGAGGGACAGTGAGAAGACTAGTCCAAGCACAGCACAGGGTAGAGGCTAGGAAGCAGGAGATAAGCCTAAATAAGGAGTCAACTAATTTTTCTCACCAGTAAAATGGCTGAAACAATAAAAACTGTTTAACAACAATCATCTCATAGGGATGTATGAATGTTTTAAAATATATCTACAAATTTTCTGATAGTCTTTCCCTTCAACAGATGGAACCTAATCTCCTTCCCTGGAATGTGGCCTGCCCCAGTGACTCACTTGCAGCCAATAAAGTGGAAGTGACAATGGGCAACTTTGGAAACCAGGACTTCTTCTTTGCTCCCTTTTGGATCACTCACTCATGGAAGCCAGCTGCTGTGTTGTGAGAACACGCAAGCAGCCCCGTGGAAAAGCCCATGTTGAGAGGAACTAAGACCTGTGGCCAACTGCCATGTGAGTAAAGATCCTCCAGTCCCAGGGAAGTCTTCAGATGATGCAGCCTTGGCCTAGATCTTAAAGGCAACCTTAGAGAGATCCTAGCCAGAACCATTGAACTAAGCAGCTCCCAAATTCCTGACCCAGAGAAACTCTGAGGCAATAAATGCTTGTTGTGTTTGGGACAAATCTAACACAGCGACAGATGACTAATACAGGCAATGAGGATTAAATGAGATATATAACTAAAGCTTTTTTTTTTTTTAAAGACTTTATTTATTTATTTGACAGACAGAGACACAGCGAGAGAAGGAACACAAGCAGGGGGAGTGGGAGAGGGAGAAGCAGGCTTCCTGTGGAGCAGGGAGCCTGATGCGGGGCTGGATCCCAGAATCCTGGGATCATGACCTGAGCTGAAGGCAGATGCTTAACGACTGAGCCACCCAGGCGCCCGTATAACTAAAGCTCTTAGTACAGTACGTAATACAAACAAAATACTAAATCAGTGTTAGCTCTTTAACTGTGAAATTTAATAAGCACTTAAACATGTCATTCTCTATAAATGCTCCAAAATATTCAGACGAATCTTCAACATTCCAACTCTATTTAAAAACAAAATGGGTGAGAAACCTCAGCCCACAGAGAGATACTCTCAGCAAACTATAAACCTCTTAAGAGTATCAATTACATCACGGAGATTGTTTTAATCCACACCTTTAAAAAGATATGAATAATACTGAGGTTTGAAAAGGACTTAAAGGAGGGGTGCCTGGGTGGCTCAGTTGTTAAGCGTCTGCCTTTGGCTCAGGTCATGATCCCAGGGTCCTGAAATCAAGCCCCACATTGGGCTCCCTGCTCAGTGGAGAGCCTGCTTCTCCCTCTCCCACTGCCCCTGCTTGTGTTCCTTCTCTCACTGTGTCTCTCTCTGTCAAATAAATAAATAAAAATCTTAAAAAAAAGAACTTAAAGGAAACAGGTATCTTTTTTTTTAAAGATTTTATTTATTTTTTGACAGAGAGAGAGAGACAGTGAGAGAGGGAACACAAGCAGGGGGAGTGGGAGAGGAAGAAGCAGGCTTCCCGAGCAGGGAGCCGGACAAGGGGCTCGATCCCAGGACCCTGGGATCTTGACCTGAGCTAAAGGCAGACGCTTAACGACAGAGCCATCCAGGCGCCCCAGGAAACAGGCATTCTTATGCATTGTTAACGGGAATGTAAATTGGAGAAGACCCGTAAGAAGGTTATGTAGGAGTATCTGTCAAAATTTGAGTGTTTAGGGACGCCTGGGTGGCTTAGTCCGTTAAGCATCTGCCTTCGGCTCAGGTTACGATCCCAGTATCCTGAGATTGAGTCCTGCATCAGGCTCCTTGCTCAGCAGAGAGTCTGCAGCTCTCCCTGCCCCTGCTTGTGCTTGCTTGCTCTCTCTCTCTTTGGCAAATAAAAATAAATAAATAAAAATTTGAGTGTTTATATCCTTTAATTTAGCAATTTCATTTCTAGAAATCTATCTACACATTACTTGCTCATGTACACAAAGATGTATGCACAAGAGTATTTACTGCTTCCCTATGTGTAACAGCAAAACACTAGAAACCATCCAAATGTCTATTGCTAAGGATGAGGAGATATATTATTATACATGTATATATTAGATATATTGAACATATATACATATATATATCATTGTGTAGAACAATATACACTGAATGACTCCATCCATTTGGTCTCTCTCACACACACACATACACACACACTAATGCATAAGCTAATTCTTATTAAAGCTATTAAGATTTTCATAGAAAGGGGGCTAGAAGAATGCAGCCCAGACAATGGCAGTGGACATCTATGGAGACTGGCAATGTGTGTGTAATGGGGGAACACACAGAGATGGGGGTTGAAGGGGAATTTTCATAAAAGTTCCTATGTATTTTATTGTTTAAACCTTATATAAGAATACATGCACATATTACTCATAAAATTTTA